TTTCTTACACTTACAGTTCAATAACAGATTTCACATTACAGGCACTAAATAATTTTTTAGTTTAAGTTTACTAGTAGAAGTATTTAGCTCAAATGGACCCACAGATCTATGAAATCAACAGTATTTGCATTAGTCAAAGAAAATTTTATTAAACCATTTTAATACTACTTTATGTACCTTGCACATTAATTCTCTAATTCCTTATTTCAATTTTAAATCACCAACAGAGAATGTAAGAGCTCATGCTTTGTACTGAGGTCAAAAACAACCAAATGAAAGAAAACCCGAAATCTAACTGTCTTCAGCAGGGTCGTGGCAGATGTAAATTAAAACAGACTGCATTTCTCCTTTATCTTATAGGATAGCTTTTGTGAAGGAAAGTTGTTTTAGTTCTTAAGCCTGTTCCTTATTCTGTACTTGCCTTTTCCCTCTTTTCCTATCAAATGCCTTTTTCCCCTTTTCTTTTTCTAGGTAGATGATTTTCCTAAAATAAATGTGCTAAGTTTACCTCCAATGCACTCTTATTCTAAATGAATTCTTCAATCCCAGCTTATTTTCATGATCATTAGGAGGTAATGAAAGTAAGATGGTAGCCACGGTCTTGTGAAACCATCTTCTCTAGCAGTATGTTTTCAAACAATATAGATGTCTGAAAACAATGTAAAATTGTCTAAAACCATTTAAGACTAGTCTTTCAAAAGGTCTGACCAACACTGCAACCCCCTGTCCTCATTTATACTTTGAGAAGCAGTGGTTTCTCCGCATCACTAACGCTTACCCCATGTGCTCTGTGCATCTCTCAGGTGTGTCGCTAAGAGGAGAGCAAGGCATCCCCGGTCCACCAGGCCCCGCGGGACCTCGAGGGCACCCAGGCCCGTCTGGACCACCCGGAAAACCCGGCACCGGAAGTCCTGGGCCCCAAGGACAGCCAGGGTTGCCAGGACCGCCGGGACCGTCAGCCACTGGGAAGCCAGGTTTGCCAGGACTCCCAGGAAAACAAGGGGAGAGAGGACTCAATGGACCAAAAGGGGATATTGGACCAGCTGGTTTACCAGGACCACGGGGCCCCCCAGGGCCACCCGGAATCCCCGGCCCAGCTGGAATTTCTGTTCCAGGGAAACCTGGGCCTCAAGGACCTACAGGAGAACCAGGTCCCAGGGGCTTTCCTGGGGAAAAGGGTGCGCCAGGGGTCCCTGGACTGAATGGACAGAAAGGGGAAACGGGGTACTGTGCTCCTTGCCGCCCAGGTGAGAGGGGTCTCCCAGGTCCTCAGGGTCCCACGGGACCACCTGGCCCTCCTGGAGTGGGGAAAAGAGGTGACAATGGGTTACCAGGACAGCCAGGCCTCAAAGGTGACCAGGGTGTTCCAGGGGAAAGGGGACCAGCCGGCCCACCAGGCCCCCAAGGCCCCCCTGGGGAACAAGGACCAGAAGGCATTGGAAAGCCAGGAGCCCCTGGAACTCCGGGCCAGCCAGGGATCCCAGGGATGAAAGGCCACCCTGGGGCTCCAGGACCAGCTGGGCTCCCGGGGGCTCCCGGCTTTGGGAAACCAGGCTTGCCAGGCCTGAAGGGACAAAGAGGATCTGTGGGCCTTCCAGGGAGTCCAGGTGCCAAAGGGGAACAAGGCCCAGCAGGTCATCCCGGGGAAGCAGGTCTGCCCGGACCCTCAGGGAACATGGGACCCCAAGGACCCAAAGGCATTCCAGGCAACCCCGGGCTCCCAGGCCCTAAAGGTGAGATGGGGCCAGTGGGGCCTGCAGGAAACCCCGGGGCAAAGGGGGAAAGGGGCTCCTCTGGCTTAGATGGAAAACCAGGGTACCCAGGAGAACCAGGTCTCAACGGTCCCAAGGGTAACCCAGGGTTGCCGGGCCCAAAAGGTGACCCTGGAATCGCAGGATCCCCTGGTCTCCCAGGCCCCGTGGGTCCAGCAGGAGCTAAGGGAATGCCAGGACACAATGGCGAGGCTGGGCCCAGAGGAGTCCCTGGAATACCTGGTACTAGAGGTCCCATTGGGCCACCAGGCATTCCAGGATTCCCTGGAGCCAAAGGCGATGCGGGAACTCCGGGGCCTCCTGGCCCAGCGGGCATAGCAGTCAAGGGCCTCAATGGACCGACTGGGCCACCAGGGCCTCCAGGGCCAAGGGGCAATGCTGGGGAACCTGGTCTCCCAGGGCCCCCAGGGCCTCCAGGCCCTCCAGGCCAAGCAGCCCTGCCCGAGGACTTTGTAAAGGCAGGCCAAAGGCCATTTGTTAGTGCCAATCAGGGAGTAACAGGAATGCCTGTGTCTGCTTTCACGGTTATCCTCTCCAAAGCTTACCCAGCTATAGGTACTCCTATCCCATTCGATAAGATTTTATATAACAAGCAACAGCATTACGACCCAAGAACTGGAATCTTCACCTGTAAGATTCCAGGGATCTATTACTTCTCTTACCACATCCATGTGAAGGGGACCCACGCTTGGGTAGGTCTGTATAAGAACGGCACCCCTGTGATATACACCTACGATGAGTACATCAAGGGCTACCTGGATCAGGCTTCGGGGAGCGCCGTAATCGACCTCGCCGAGAACGACCAGGTATGGCTCCAGCTGCCCAGCGCAGGCTCCAACGGGCTCTACTCTAGTGAGTACGTCCACTCCTCCTTCTCAGGATTCCTGGTGGCTCCCATGTGAGCCCGCTCCCACCGAGCTAACACAAATCTGCTTGAAGAGGCATTCCCCAACTCCACCCCACCCCACCAAATGCATATGGAGGTAGGCTGAAAAAATGTGACTGATTTCAGTTTTCCAAAGTACAGGTCTGAGCTCTCAGATACGGCAAACATATGTGAAGACCCTCTTGAGTTTCTAGTCAGCAGTCCTAAAACTTCTAAAAGTTTTCTGTGAACTCCTTCAATATTTAACAATTTCATCCTAAGTTAAAAAAACAATCGCAAAAAACCTTGAAATGTGATGCTAAATCATGTCAAATTTGATTTCAGAAGTTCAGTATTTCCTTTTAAAAATAAGCCTTGTTTCTGACAATTAACAGGAAAATTTTCAGGAAACATTCAGGAGATGTCATCTATCTTTATGGAACTTAAATACTTGAATATTCAAATTTAAAAAACACTATGTACCCTGAGATCTTTCTGATGGTGCATTACTCAAAGGTTTAAGTGGCCCCTTTTGTCAATATCTATTCAAGTATACAGGTGCATACAGACTTTTTATAGCTCTCATAAGAAACCCAAAATATTAATGTTAATTTGAAATGCAAGGTGCTTTAGTCATGAACCTTTTCAAACGTTTCTGTGGATTGCTGAAAGCTTTCTATATACCCTTTACAACTTGGAAATGGTGTCTAACCTATTTTATTTATTTGACACAAGTGTGATTAATTTGTTTTAATGACTCCTTGAGTCTTATATAATGTTAATATGACTTTGTGGGTTTATAGAGTATTAGCATATGTACCTTGGGCCTCCCATTCCAGTGAAATTGTAGTATCAAGGGTTTCAAAATCTGACTAGAAATGAAAAGATTATTTATTTCTGCTCTGTACTGTATTTTAATGTTTCTGTTTAAAACTCTTAAGCTGTGCCTCATGAAATGTTTTATCTACTCCTTATTTACAATGCAATAAAATAACATCAATAGATGATTATGTTGAATTTATTATTTTTATGCTGAATTTGTTTGAAACCAGCAATTTGCTATTCTCAACCACTCTTTGAAGGGTTTTCATTTTACAAAGTTAATAAAAAGTAAAATGATAAAGTGGGTAGCTTTTGCAAGGGTCATGTATATACCCTTCTGTTGGAGATGAGCACTTCCACACACCCAAGCACTCATTGTGGACTGTGAAAAGCTATCAGACAGAACCACATGTGATCTACAGGGTGAAGGGCTGGTGACTGGGAATAGAAAAGTAAGACAATCATCTAAGTCAGTGATATTCTTCTAGGAAGGAAAAAAGCAGGCAGGAGAGAAACATGTAGTTTGAACAAATATCCGCAGTTACTATTCACTGCCTCGACATGTTTTTAGTCATAATATTTAGGATCATTTTGATGGCTTAAATGACATTAAAAGGCAGGCAAGAATTTTTATGCCAATCAAAAGGCAGCTTTTTTATTTTTCTCAGCTGAAAAACACTGCCTGTGAGCATCCATCAGTCCACCAGCTGAATTAGGACAGTCTGTTCAAGTCACACAGGTACCACACTATAAAGGGATGTCTTAATGCCTTAGAAGCAATGTCTCTGTGTAACCCAAGGAAACCTGTGAATAGAACTGTAAAAACGTGGGCTTGGGTTGGTGATCTCTGCTCATATTCTGTGTGAGCTCAACCTGCTTTTAAGCATTGAGAATAGAATTTTCACTCTTCCTGTCTGTCTGTAATTACAACACTAATGGTGACAGCTATCACCAATCTCATTTCCAAGCCAAGAAAGCAAATTCTGGGGTATCCACAAAAGGGTCCTACCGGTAAGCATGTAAAAAACAGCATCTCTTAGAATACTGGCAATGATGGCCATTAAACAGACATGAAGAAAAGAAGCTCTCAGATATATAACCAGGATCAACTTTATAGCAACATCTAGGGCCAAATTAAATCCTAATTAAGGTACCTTCTAAGTAATTCATTAGATGCACAGGATTGAACAAACATCTAAAGCCTCTCTTCAAGAAATGGAGACACAGACATAGAGAATGAACTCATGGACACAGCTGGGGAAGGAGAGGGGAGGACAAGTTGAGAAAGTAGCATAGACATACACACACTATCATGTGTCAAACAGATGATTAGTGGGAAGCTTCATATAACACAGAGCCAGCCTTGCACTCTGTGACAACCTAGAGGGCTGGATGGGGTGGGAGGGAAGCTAAAGAGGGAGGGGGATATATGTATAATTATGACTGATTTCTGTTGACGTATGGCAGAGACTACTGCAACACTGTGAAGCAATGATCCTCCAATAAAAATAAAAAATAAAGTCTCTCTTCACATTACTCACCTTTAAAAGCTGACATTTTATAATTATGTTGTATACCAGCGACTATGTCCTTCCAAAAATCAAATGGTTTTTGACCATTGTTCTGCTAAAGAAAAAAAAACCAAATCCAAATGTGACACACGTTATTACATATTCTGTTTTTAAGCATAGTAGAAAACACTTGGCAAACAACTATAATATTACTGTACTCTAAGGATTCATGTTTTAGGAAATAGAACAGATTAATAAACTTCTCACTTTTCCAAATGTGACTGTAGAAAAATATCTTCCATGAAAATCACTGCTATAGTGAAGTATATACGTAAGACTAAGTATTAATGTAACCCATATAACCCAAATAAAATAAAAATTTCCATGCATTGTGAAGTCTAAACATTACACACTACTTTTAACACATGAACAAATCTACAATGTTACAGCTTAGGAGATATCAGGACATGTCACTTCCTGTACCATGGCATCAATGGAGCTAAAAGGCCCGCAGCCTTAAAACCGCAAAAGCTGGTTACTTTACAATACTGTGCACATTTATCTGAGTTTCAGTATATAAGAGCATCAAATCTCTACAGGTGAGATGAAGGAGGTTCCTAACCCAAAATTCAAATCATTTTTGCTAAGACTCTTTTTAAACCCAGAAAGCAAGTAAACAGGAAAATACACAACCCTACAGCCCTGTGCTTCCTTGGAGACATTAACCAGTGTCCTTCTATATAAACAGAGACCAACTACTAGGTAGTATTTAAATTATATCAAGCCCCAAATATTTAAAGACTGGTGCATTTGTTTACAGTCACTATAAAATGAGAAGCTGACTACATCCCATAGTAACAACTTCTACAAGCCAGAACTTTGGCTCAACAGAAACTTTCACAAACACATGACTGTAATTCTGATTCAAAAATAAACCAACGTCTAGTCCTATCAGAATGCAGAGTTCCAAAGAATAGCAAGGAGAGATAAGAAAGCCTTCCTCAGTGATCAATGCAAAGAAATAGAGGAAAACAATAGAATGGGGAAGACTAGAGATCTCTTCAAGAAAATTAGAGATACCGAGGAAACATTTCATGCAAAGATGGGCTCAATAAAGGACAGAAATGGTATGGACTTGACAGAAGCAGAGATATTAAGAAGAGGTGGCAAGAATACACAGAAAAACTATATAAAAAAGATCTTCATGACCCAGATAATTACGATGGTATGATCACTCATCTAAAGCCAGGCATCCTAGAATGCGAAGTCAAGTGGGCCTCACTATGAACAAAGCTAGTGGAGGTGATGGGATTGCAGTTGAGCTATTTCAAATGCTAAAAAGGATGATACTGTTAAAGTGCTGCATTCAGTATGCCAGCAAATTGGGAAAACTCAGCAGTGGCCACAGGACTGGAAAAGGTCAGTTTTCATTTCAATTCCAAAGAAAGGCAATGCCAAAGAAGGCTCAAACTACCGTAAAATTGCACTCATTTCACATGCTAGTAAAGTAATGCTCAAAATTCTCCAAGCCAGGCTTCAACAGTATGTGAACCATGAAATTCCAGATGTTCAAGCTGGTTTTAGAAAAGGCAGAGAAACCAGAGATCAAATTGCCAACATCCGCTAGATCATTGAAAAAGCGAGAGTTCCAGAAAAACATCTATTTCTGCTTTATTGACTATGCCAAAGCTTTTGACTGTGTGGATCACCACAAATTGTGGAAAATTCCTCAAGAGATAGGAATACCAGACCACCTGACCTGCCTCCTGAGAAATCTGTATGCAGGTCAGAAAGCAACAGTTAGAACTGGACATGGAACAGTAGACTGGTTCCAAATAAGAAAAAGGAGTACATCAAGGATGTTTGTCACCCTGCTTATTATAACTTATATGCAGACAACATCATGAGAAATGTTGGGCAGGATGAAGCACAAGCTGAAATCAAGATTGCCAGGAGAAATATCAATAACCACAGATATGCAAATGATACCACCCTCACAGCAGAAAGCGAAGAAGAACTAAAGAGCCTCTTGATGAAAGTGAAAGAGGAGAGTGAAAAAGTTGGCCTAAAGCTCAACATTCAGAAAACTAAGGTCATGGCATTTGGTCCCATTACTTCAAGGCAAATAGATGGGGAAATGATGGAAACCGTGACAGACTTTTATTGTTTTGGGTTCCAAAACCACTGCAGATGGTGACTGCAGCCATGAAATTAAAAGACGCTTACTCCTTGGAAGAAAAGTTAGGACCAACCTAGACAGCATATTAAAAAGCAGAGACATTACTTTGCCAACAAAGGTCCATACTGTCAAAGCTGTGGTTTTTCCAGTAGTCATGTATGGATGTGAGAGTTGGACTACAGAGAAAGCTGAGCGCCGAAGAATTGATGCTTTCCAACTGTGGTGTTGGAGAAGACTCTTGAGAGCCCCTTGAACTGCAAGGAGATCCAACCAGTCCATTCTAAAGGAGATCAGTCCTGGGTGTTCAATGGTAGGACTGATTTTGAAGCTGAAATTCCAATACTTTGGCTACCTGATGTGAAGAACTGACTCATTTGAAAAGACCCTGATGCTGTTAAAGACTGAAGGTGGAAGGAGAAGGGGATGACAGAGGACGAGATGGTTGGATGGCATCACTAACTCAATGGACATGAATCTGAGTGAACTCTGGGAGTTGGTGATGGACAGGGAGGCCTGAAGTACTATAGTCCATAGGGTCGCAAAATCAGACACGACTGAGCGATTGAACTGGACTGAACTGAAGCCTATCAGAACCATCACTGTCATTTTTAAAGACAATATATGCACAAAAGAAAGTGATTCTGGCATAAAACCAATTTATGTTCATAGTTCTTAAGCTCTAAGTATGAACGGATATAACCAGAGATCTTTTTAATCCTGATACCTAGGACAAAGAAAAAAAGTCTATATACATTAAACTATGCTCAAAATGATGATTTTTAACATTTCATTCCATTTTCCTGGTTTTATACTATTTAACAATGCTTAAAAAGACACATAGAATTTCCTTACATTTCTTTTATTTATTTTAAAAACTCTGCTAAGGAAACCAAGAAATATTTCTCCACATGCCAAGCTTGGTATTTTCTTTTTCTAGACTGTTGCATCCCCTGCTGGAGAACAGGTTTACTCTCCTTAGGTATGGTCGTTATTTAATTTTCCAAAAATACTGTGACCAATTTCTCTCTGTCTTTCCTCTTTGGTCACCTCTGAAACCACAAAGGAAATTGAGTAAAATCTCAACTCAGAAGACATACATAATTAAGTCCTCTGTGTGGGTGTGGGCTTCGTCGCTCAGTCATGTCCGCCTCTTTGCAATACCATGGACTGTAGCCCGCCAGGCTTCTCTGTCCATGGGGATTCTCCAGGCAAGAATACTGGGGGTGGGCTGCCATGCCCTCCTCCGGCGGATCTTCTCAACTCAGTTCTCTTGAATTGCAGATGGCTTCTTTACCATCTGAGCTACCAGGGAAGCTCAAAGTCCTCCGATTTATGGCCAAATACATACCATAGTTTCTAGGAAATGAGTCCCCACTCACCTTTGTTAAAGAGTCTACTACTCTGGCACATAGAAGAGCTCCAGGCAGGTCAAAGTAGTTATCATAAAAGTAGTATTTTCCTAAAAAGAACACAATTTTAAATTGGGATAAAATTAATGCCTCATTTATGTGATAAAACTTGGCTAAAGAGGCTATATTTTGGTTTAGTTACTTAAAGGGGCTTCTATTGCAATTCAGAACCACTCTACTACAGCCTGTCATCCACTGTCTTTTGAAGAAGGCCTCAGGTATAATGGCTCTATTAATATAAAAAAGTTATAATAAAATATGATGTGCATAAGTTAAGCATTTTATTAAGAACATTTTTAATATAAAAATTAAAGACTATATCATAAACATGAAATAGATTATGAAAAAGTCACAATTTGTATTATCAGGGTCACTGAATTTCAAAACCATCAACCTAACACTGGAGTACCACGAAGTGCATTCACTATCTGTGTTGGTTGATCCCCTGGAGTCTCACATTCAATCTTTATGCAACTTCAGACAAATTTCAGTACAATGTAAGAACAGCCAGGGTGAGAAAAGAAATTAAAAAAAAAAAAAAAAACATGTCCTCACATCACGCGAGGACACAGTGTGGGCTTATCTTAGAAAAACTTACAAGCACAGCAGAGGCAGACTCTAGATCTTGGAGAGCAGAGGGTCTGATTTATTCTCCTCGGCCTGAGGCTAGAATTCAAGTTGAGCCCTTCCATGGCACTGACAGCACTTTTGAATCTGCTGTCCCTGGGCAGAAGACACTTTTGAGGACCCACGTCACATCCCCTCGGTCCACGGTTGACCCCAGCCTCAGCTGTGTTGAACACCACTGTCTCTCCTCAAGCCACACCCTCTCTCTGGAAGCCTCTAGAGCCCATGTGGCAAGCCTCAACGGACAGTCAGGAATCAGGGAATGCAGGCCCCAACTTCCTGTCCCTTGGGTTGACAATTCTGGGAAGTGCTCTCTGCGCTTCTCCTCAGAAGTCCTGGCGGGATCCAGGGCCCTGCTCTGTTCTCTCCTTTCATGTCACACCCTCACTGCTATCTTGCTCCTGCAGACTGCAAGCAGGAGCGACCACTCTGCTTTCAGCACAAACCTCAGAGTCCTCTCTCCTGAGAACTCCTGGTACAAAGAGGAATCAAACAGAATCACCAGGTGGAGCTGGATTTCAGTTTAATGTAAGGGAATACTTTTCAAATGGTCACCGTAACTTTTGTACAGATTATTATAACTGCCCGCCCCCTTCCTCCATTTGTAAGCTATGTATGAGGTTATGGAACATAGCAGTCTTCTGTCTGTGTCTACTGCGCTCGATTTCCAGTATATTGTAGGCACTCAATAAATGCTTGTTGAATGATCCAAAAATTGAATGGATTACAGTCAACCTTTTAACAACACAGGTGTGAACTGCACAAGTCCACTTTTACATGTATTTTTTTCAACATGTAAATAAATACAATAAATACTATAGCAGTACACGATCTGTGACCTGCAGTAGGTTGAACCCACAGATGCAGAAACTCAGGGAGGAACTCCAAGTAGGGAGGGCTGATGATAAAGTTATACTCAGATTATCAACTTCTTGAGGTAAGTGTCCCTAATTCCTAAGTTGTTCAAGAGTTAGCTGTATGCTGGAATGAAGTGTCATGGTAAATTAAGAGAAAACCCTCTGTAAGGTCCAGATAGATGTTTATCCCTTTAAATCTTACTTAACGCACCTCAAAGATGTTAAATTACCAAGAATATAAAAGAAATAAAGTCAAAGTTCTGTTAATTCACAAACTGGCTGCATAGGTTTGTATGTCCTTTTCCTCAGTTAAGAATATTTTGGTTGGCATAGTCTTCTTGTTTTTTTTACTTTTTCACAGCTGAAATTGTGGAGGGAACATCTCAGACGAGTTTTCATTCTTAAGAAAGGTTAGGATGTCTTTGTCGGTATAAGGAAAACCAAGAATTTGGAGAAAAGGGAGAAGACGGCCTACATACACGTCTGCCCACACTACTATGCTGTCAGGCCACACAACACGCCAGGACTGCGGGGACTAGGACAGCGGACACAGATTCCCAAGGCTCACTACCCACAATGCGTCTAATCTCCTGGTCTGTGATACCAGAGTGACCTGCCTGAACCAGCCAGCTGGTGTCAAGTGGACCTGCCCAGGTCAAACCCATGTTGTTCACCTCTATTTACAAGTGCCTACATCCGGACAGGTGGCACCGTGGTAAAGAACCCGCCTGCCAATGTAAGAGGCACAAGAGATGCAGGTTTGATCCCTAGGTCGGGAAGATACCCTGGAGTAGGAAATGGCAACCTGCTCCAGTAAATTCCATGGACAGAGGAGACTGGCATGCTGCAGCTCACGGCATCTAAGAGATGGGCGTGAATAAGCATGCACGCTTGTACACACACATCTGGACAGACAACAGGAGTCTTCCTCACCACTTGAATAAAAAGTAAATCTATCCACTTAACTTCCTAGCTATTGTGAGTTGAGATGTGTGAAAGCATTCTATACCTAACCTCAAGGTGAAATCTCTTTTTCCTGTCAACTTATTTTATTAAAATAACACATACTTCCTGACGTTTTCTCATTATGAGAAAACAGACCACCCAAAGACAGCAAATATGACAAACAAAACCACGATAGCAACAAGGAATAACTCCAACTATTTTCCAGTTACTATATTTTCGAAAGGAAAATAGGTGTATTTCAAAACTGTAGTATGGGAGAAAATGGCCAAAAAAACCTAGAACAAATGGAAAACAAGACTTTTAATGAGGTCTGTTTATAAGTGTTTTAATCATTCTTTATTAATTTATGCACATCTGTTGTCTATAAATACTTTTTGAAAAATCTTTTCATGTTTGCTTATGGTAAAACTCTTTAAGTAGAGTGGGAAAAAGTTGTGTAAAATCACTCTCAATAAAGGGGAAAAAAAAAGACGATGGTAGAAGATACCAGAAATGGCAGTAAAGAAAAGAATTCTAGTAAACAGGAGAGGTGAGGAATATGAATGTGGGGAGAAGCGGGCAACAGAGAAAGAAAAGGATTGTGCAGGTAATGAATTAATAAAAATACAGGATAATTAATTTTATTATTCCTAAGTGCTAAGTCTTCTTTCCTCCAGAACAAGTAAAAGGTGAATCAATAAAAACATTAAATAAAACAGAACCAACTGCCAAAGAGAAACCAGACACACACGAGAAGTAACGCATCCCATCTCTATGAAACCACAGCTGCTCTTGTTTGCATCCTGCTCTGTGTCTTGATGTCACAGGTTCAGGGTCTAAACCAGCAGGGGAGGGAACGCTGGCGCTGCCCCACACAGGAACCGTACCTGACCGGAAGGCCATTCCCGTGTCGGGCATGAAGTGCTTCCACTCCTTCCTGCCAAACTCCTCCGCCAGCGCCTCCGGAGACAGCATCTTTGTGCCGTGGCTGGCCCTGGTTTGAAGAGATGAGGCATATGGTTCATCAGTGGTTCCCTTGAACACTTGCTCCTCCAGCATTGCTATTAATTCACCCTAATACTACTAATGGGTTTTTTTTTTTTTAAGAAAAAGGTTTTCAACTGGATAAATTCCTTACTTAAGATCCTATAAGGTATTTCTCTTTTTTTTATTATGTTATTTCTTAAATTTTATTTTTAAAATTTTTAGTGGAGTATAGTTGTTTTACAATGCTGTGTGAGTGCCTACTGTAATGCAAAGTGAATCAGCGGTACGTAAACATATATCCCCTCTTTTTTGAAAGAGATGTCTCTTGACAGCTCTTTTTCTTCCTCCTTTTCACCCATCAACCAGCAAGTGATCAGGAGAAGTGCACTCTAAGGTCAATGCTGTGATAGGTGCCCCAGATGAATTTATAGACTACAACTTCTCTGGGAGAAATAGGACAAGTCTTGCCTAAGAAGTTGTCAATTAACTATGCAGGTAAGACTTGCCTAACGGAACAATGAGGAAACAACTGCAGGGACTTGGTGGGAAGCTGCCCTGCAGGGAGGAGAGGGTGAGCATGAGCTGAGGCCTGCAGGAGGAGAGATGTGCCTGGTACCCAGGGCTGTGCAGGACGGGACTATGAAGATGAAGACGGGGTAGTAATATGTCACTCACGGACGTGACGTAGCTAAAAACACAATGGGAAACAGTAAGATGAATGTGGCAAAACTTGGAACAGGAAGACAAGAAAGTAGCTACTTTTTGTGCTCAAAATACTGCTTTTGCATCGGTTGGGCCTGGTTAAGAGAATCTTACCCTAGAGAAAAACAGTTAATATTTCACATAGTTTATTATGAGAAATTATAATGCTAGGGAGTATCATTCTTCTTTTTCTGTTAGAGTTAGACTGTGGTAGCAAAGCAAAATGAAAAATATGGAAATGAAATAAGAAAGGCAAATGGAGGAAAATCACAGTCAGGATACTTTTTACAGAGAGGTTAACATTTACATAATAAAAACTGTATGTAAAGGTGGAGGAATCCTGAGCAGGAAATATGATCAGAAAAGGTATCTACTATGTTGTTTAAAAGTAGGCATCAAGGATATAAGTTTATAAATTCAGGAGGAGCTACAGGCTGGCCAAACTTGAATGGAGATGGTCAGACCTTGGGGAAAGGGTGTTAGGAATGGGGACAGACAGACAGACATAACATAGAAAGAAGCAAAGTTGCGGAATGTGCCCTACTCTTATTAACACCCAAAGTGTTGGACTCACCTTCCCTGGTGGCTCAGATGGCAGAGAATCTGCCTGTGATGCAGGAGACCCAGGTTCAGTTCCTGGGTCAGGAAGATCCCCTGGAGAAGGGGACGGCAACCCACTCCAGTATTCCTGCCTGGAGAATTCCATGGACAGAGGAGCCTGGCGGGCTATAGTTCATGGGGCTGCAAAGAGTCGGACACGACTGAGCAACTAACACTAACTAACTAAGAAGAGGGAAGGAAAGGGAGTCAGAACTAAGCTCGGGGTGGGAGGAGGGGGGACACTGATGAAGCCTGGAGGAATCTAGAAGCACTTTCAGAAGCTGAGACACAATATGAGTTCTGCATGATGGGGGCAAATTTGGACAAGTGGAAGAAGAAAGAGAGGTGTGCCTAGACCACCAATTCTACCCCATGTCCATTCTTTCCTTCTTCCTTAATAAAGAGAGCTTCAATTTTACTCCAGGTTAACATGATAAAATTCCCAGGCTCTTTTGCAGTAGAGGTGGTCAAAAAGCAAGTTAACATTCTACTGTATTTCCTGTGCAAATATTTCTGATAAGCTAAATTTAAAGAATTAGACCTTTCAATTTAATGCTCCCAGATTTGTATTTAAATGGCTCAAACGATTCCTACAAGACCTGCAGGCACACAATCTCTCATCTGATTGACAACAGTAATAATCTTGTTTAATCCATACCTTAACAGTCCAATCCTACATGGTAATAAAATGTCCTGGAAAGAGTAAAGTTCTTGACACCACAACTAAATTCTATTACCTGAGCACGGTGCCGTTATCTGCGAGTTTAATGAAGTTCCCATCTTCCAGATCCAGTGCCAAGCCCTTGCAACTGAAACAGAAAAGTCTGGTTACCAATCAGCTCACAGCCTTATTAATACTTAACTCAAGAAATAATAACATATATTTTCAAAAAGTCGTAATACTAAAAAAAGACTCTCCCACTCAGGTGAATAACATGTTAATCAAACAAGTAAGCTCTTGAATTCTAAAATTAAATATCCTCAGAGCAAGTACATGAGGAAAACTGCTATGTGGGCAAACCAAAGACAGCATATTTAGTGTCTAAACTCTTTTGAGCACAGAAAAAAAAAAAACTCAGAACAAAAAATAAGCACCATTGTATGCCTCTGCTAAAATGTACAAATGTTTTTCATTAAATAAAACACACACAAACACACATCCGTATTTTACAACTTAAGATCTTAGCCACAATCTTTTCTGTACTCTTTAGACTCTGCCTCAATTTAGTCAGGCTATAAGAACTAGCCCTCTGGGCTAGGCATATTATGGAAAACCACTAAAAGAAAGTCAAATACTAAGTTTTAGGTTCCTCACTGTAAAAGACTTATGGGATTTGGGAAGAAAAGTGGGTTCAGAGTCATTATTATGAGTAATAAAAACAAGAAGATATAATGGCCACCAAATACCAACAGAATGAAAAGAAAAGGACAGGGTACTTTACAAGCATTATTTACTTTGGTCCACAATAACGTTTCCATAGAAATTTCATATAGCAAAATGTTTCTGTTTCTTCCTTTTCAGAGAAAGGGATAAATCAAAAAGGACTAACCAAACACTGGAAGAATGCATAATAGAGGAACACTGTTGCTCTATAATTATTTCTGGATGTATTTTTCATGTGTTTCAGGACAACTATTAATTTTTAACTGAACAATTTAAAGTGGTTTAATAGGACTTTTGTTTGTTTTTATTGGTTAAGTGACGAAGAACGTCAAAGGAAACCTTGGGAAGTTGAGACTCCTAAGTCAGAAAGGGAGTAAGCTGTCAAGAGTCTCTGTTATAGGAATATCTAACCAAATTACACAAAAACAGATGTCCTAATTCAGACACTTATTAAAAACATGGAAATTCCCAGGTGGCACAATGGTAAAGAATGTGCCTGCCAATGCAGGAGACACCAGAGATACAGCTTGGATCTCTGGGTCGGGAAGATCTCTTATAGCAGGAAATGGCAACCTACTCCAGTTTTCCTGCCTGGAAAATCCCAGGACAGAAAAGTTTGACAGGCTATCGTCCACAGGGTTGAAAGGAGTTGGACAAAAATGAGTGCGCACACACACGTGTATTCAAAACATGTTGATTTCTACCTCTTTTTATACAGTTCTGTATAGGAAGGGCAATAAAAGAATTTTTTAATAAAAGATGTAAGTTTTAGAGACAGTTCTTAATCTCTGAAACTCTTAATAATGACAGACTTAACCCATGCAAAAATACCCAAATTAGTCACATTCGCTCTTAGCTTAATTTTCATACTTAACTAAGCAAGTCCAAAAATAGAAAGGACTTTAATTCATCAAATATAAAACTTTTAATACAGAAGGCATTCTGTCCTTTGCTCAACTTCACATTTCACGTTCTGTCTCCATGTAAGAGGAAGCATTAAAATTTTATCCACAAGAATTAAAAACCAGAGGGAATGTACAGACCTTTTAAAAAAGCTGCTTACCAGAAATCCCAATCCTCGGGGGTCACCATGAGCAATCCCTTGTCATACCCTTTCTCCTTGACCAGGAACTGAGCAAAGCTATTGTAAATGAGCTGTTAACAGAAAGGGAAAGAGATTAGATGTAAATTTCACTATTCCTTCTTAACTTCACAGGCCCGAAGGCCTAAAGGAATCAGTCATGAGACAGATGGGAAGGAATCTGTATTATCTGTTAATTGTGAAGCTCGGCAGGTTAACAATCCTTCTCAGCAATTTATGCACCCCTGTGAGCCCCAGGTAGCTGCTGGTTTTTTTACACTATCAATGTACAATTATACAACCAAGGGAAATTATTAACCTTACTCCTGGAGCCTAACGGGTTGGAGATCATTAAGACTGGACAAAGCTTTGTAAATTGATTTAACACTTCACCAGATGATAAACATATTGACCACTCTACATCCATCCTCTGTCCATCCTCTCCAGAAGGCCCCATGGCAGCTGATAATGCTACTTCATATACTTGAGCCCCACACAGTGGAGGCCACCCCACTGGCCCAGACGTTGGCACAATCTAAACCTAAGTCAGTGTGCACTTATAGAAAACCCCTGTCAAGAAAACCTAACATACACCAATCACAATCTGCCGTGTCAGCTTTAGCTCACTTACCTCTCCCTAGAAAATAGGACCCAGAGTCCCCATCAGGAAATTCCCAACCTCCTAGCCAATCAGACCCTGTTTCTGCGTTGCCTCTGTCTACAGTTTACAAAACACGTTCAAGTCCAGAATCTGGGGAAGAGTATTCCACTGCTTGTGGGGCCACCGCACTATCCCAATCCATGAATTATTTTCTCTAAATGAAGGACATCAAATTCACTACTACTTTTAGTTTTGCCACTTGACACGGGGAATCTCCCTTGTAGCTCAGCTGGTAAAGAATCTGCCTGCAATGCAGGAGACCCCGGTTCAATTCCTGGGTCAACAAGTTCCATTGGAGAAGGGGTAGGCTACCCACTCCAGTATACCTGGCCTTCCCTGGTGGCTCAGCTGGTAAAGAATCTGCCCGCAATGCGGGAGACCTGGGTTCGATCCCTGGGTTGGGAAGATCCCCTGGAGAAGGGAAAGGCTACCCACTCCAGTATCCTGGCATGAAGAATTCCATGGACTGTATAGTCCATGGGGTCACAAAGAGTTGGGCACGACTGAGCAACTTTTCCCTTCTTTCTTTCTTCTACAGGGGAATCTCAAAGAGAAATATATATGGGGACCAGGCAGGTAATCTACAGGAGGAATCACGGCGCCTTGATCAGACACAGGGACTCTCTCTTTTTATCCCCCGTAAGAAAAGCTGAGGGGAAAGAAAAAATAAACAAACCTCTGGAAGCAAGCATAAAAGTAAATGCTCTGCTGACTGTCGACAGATTTCATTCTCAACAACAAAATTCCAGGTTTTTTGAGACTGAACAGTGTCCAAGAGGATGCACAGAGTATCCTGACCCTTCTCCAGATGTTAGCCCATGACAGGTTTAGCACTGGAATAGCACAAAGGAGAAGTGGGAATAGATACAGCAGGAGGAGTAGAAGGCCTCCCTGCGGGAGTGACGTTCACACTGATGCCTGCAGGACAGAGCAGTTATCTGGGTGAATCCGGGGGGAGAGGACCACACAAGTCCAGGGGACACACAGCTCAAGTTGGGGCTTGGGACTGTGAGTGTCAGGAGATGAGTACAGAGAAAGCAAAGGCTCCCTGTCAAATAGAGCTGTTTCCTGTCTTAAAGCTAATGAAAATGGCTATACACGTACCCCACACAATGTGACCCTGATCCAGGTCAGCTGTTCAGAGTTACATTAAGTCAACACTATGTATGAACAGTCCCCAACCCTGGAGGTGAGTTAGAACCACAGGTGATAGTTCTTAAAGCCACCCAGAAATTCCAAGCCTCCAGGACAGGGTGGGGCCCCTACCAAATTCCTGAAACTCTGAGACAATTGAAAATCACTGACTTCTATGTTATATGAATTTTCACTCATATGAATGATCAATCATAAAATGTACTGAGTCACTCAAAGGTACAAAGTATTATGGACAATAAAAAAGATACATGTCATGATCCTGCCTGCAAGAAACCAGTGCCCCAGGATTATCAGATGTAAATCCCATGTGTAATGTAAATCTTCAGATGCTTAGAGCAGCACAGGGCATACAAGTAAATTCAATTTAGGTACTGCTATTATCCTCAGTCATGTGCTGGTTAAAAAAAAAAAACAAACAGAAAAGCCCTGACTCATAAGCTTCGTTCATTGCCATGGTACCCCCTACCATGGCCCGTTTCAAGCTACCAATGGTTACTGCACACCATTAGACTTGCCTCTGGTCAAGCTAAGTTTTTTCAGCCTTGGACAATTGGAATTTCTCACCCTTTGGTAATATTGATCAAGATACAGATACGTGATTCCAATAAGGTCAGATTCCTTCCCAGGGCAAAGAGCCCTTTCCAGGAGGGCTGCCTATGGGGGTGCCCACAGCTGTGTTTGGAGGAGAAGGTTCTACAATAGGAGAGAATGGGGTCAATGTGTAAGGAGAAGTAGAGAAGAGCAGTGCTGAGAAACACCAGGAAGGTTGTGTCTTTGAAAGCCGTCTTCCAGTCCGAAGCCCTCGGCCCTTGAAGCTTTTCCTTAAATTATGTTGACTCACCCCAGAAGCCCTCATGGCACAGGGCCTCCACCACCCACCCTTCCTCTCCTGGCCTTAGCTGCCACTTACTTTCCCAACAGTCTCACCTGACTAATGATCATGCAGAATCGTCAGCAGTTGCAAACTGGTGCCCTGCGGGTCGTAGGCGGACCACAAATTATATCTGGTTCCCACTGAAGGATGCCAGATAAAATATGAAACTCCTAGGTCAATTGGATTTTCGGCCTGAAAAATTATTTCAGCAAATAATTTTTTAATATAAGCATATCCCATGAGATAGCTGGAACACACATACACTAAAAATGTTTCTGTTCTTTGAAACTCAAATTGAACCGGATGTCTTGTATTTTTCTTCGCTATATCTGGCAACCCCATAATTCTGCTGTTCTGAAAATGAGCTGGCACTGAAAAAAAATTGACAGACTTCTCACACAAGCTTCGATTTCTAACTTGTCTTCAGAGAATTAGATCTGGCAAGACTGAGCCTCTACGCCCCACGGCAAAGGCTGCATGTGCATCCTCCTGGCTGCCAGAGACCCCCACATTCCCAGTCGCACATTCAGGTTAACTGCTTGGCCCCGCACACTCCTGAGTCTGCAACTCCAGGACAACACAGGTGTCATCATTTCTAGGATGCTTTTCCTGAGCCCCTGGGGAGGTGACACATCCAGTTCCACATTTGTATAACACTCCACTTATTAAATGGCTTTCTAGGTGGCGAGAGTGGTAAAGAACCCATCTGCCACTGCAGGACGCAGAGACTCTGGTTCAATCCCTGGGTTGGGAAGATCCCTTGGAAGGAGGGCGTGGCAACCCACTCCAGTATTCTTGCCTGGAGAATTTCAAGGACAGACGAGCCTGGTGGGCTATGGGTGGTCACTCAGTGAGCCACCATCAGCCACCACTGCCATCTCCAATATCTTCTCCTGCCATTCCCCACCTTCTGCTTGATACCCAGCAGATCCAGGTGCTGTTTTTCATCTCTTGGTCCTTGCCTTGGCCATATTTCCTCTGCCTGAAATGCTCCTCTTTGCCTCCTCACCTGCCAATTGTCACTCCCGTGCTGAGACCCAGCTCAAGCATCACTCACTCCAAGGCCTCCCTTTTGGGCTTTGCAGCACACAGAAAGCCCGTGGGAGAGAGCAGAAACCTGCCGGCCAGCCCACCATGCTGGGTGACCCTGGACGAGCTACTTATCCTTTCTGGGACTGTGTCCTCATCTCTGAAGGAGGTTAATAACATCTACCTCATACGGCTGTTGTAAGCATCAAACCAGTCTGTATCAGCAGAAGCTTATTAGAATAGTGACTGTGAGTGCCATATTCAGTTACTGAAACACCTACTATTTATTCAATGGTTTCATGATTATTTCCTGAACTCCGCATGTGCAGAGTCAGCTTGGCACATAGAACACACAATAAAGTCACAGATACTGAGGTCAAGGGTCATGGCTCTAGGATCTAGGGAAAGGTTCCAACAAGTAAATAGGAAAAATTCAAGGCAGTGTGTAAGTGCTATGAGAAATTAAGGTTTTATGGAAAACTGGAGGTAGGATCAGGATAAGAAGGTAAAGTTTAGGGGGCCAGGTTACTTAATCTGAGACCTCCCAGATGAGGGGTCAGCGTGATGAAGAAAGGCAGAGGTAACAGCCAAGCATTAGCAAGGGCCAGGCAATGCTGCCGTCAGCACAGGGGACCAAAGCTCACCTTCCAACATCCTTACCCATGACAAGGCCACCTGAAGACCTGTGTGTTATCTCTGTACTCATAACTCTATTATGGTGCTCAGCACAAAGAAAGATTTCTGAGCCAAACAGGAAAGAAAATGCGCCAGATTACCGTTTTCAATCTTTAAATATCACTTATATTTGAAGCTTGTGGTAAAGAACTCTTGCTTTTGGGAAATTCTTGGATTCTGAAATTTTATGCTCACACATGCACAAAATTGACTTTTAAGACTATTTCCTTCGAAAGAAGACGGCTAGAGAGGAAATGGAAGAAAATGTTAATCAAGGGGAAGATATGAAAGGCAAAAGGAGGAAAATATGAATCAAAGACCTAGAGGAAGTAGTGGCCAGAGATCAAGAGGAAAAGTCTCCTTAACTCTCAACATGAGGAAGGAAACATCTGTACCGTGGGAAAGCAGGAACACACAACATTAGGAACAGTACACTTTTTTTTTTTTAAACCATCTGTACACAGAAAACAGGAGTAATTCATACACTGTTTTGACCTTTGTCGGGTACCTGAACTGCTGACTGGGGCACTGAACCTCATCTTCATGAGGAGCTGCCGTGGCTGATGTCTGCACCAGCTACTTATCGCTCTATCATAAGTGGTCAGGTTGGACAATGATTCCAGTGGTAACTACAAAAGCCACCACTTGGGTCGGACACAGCTCTCAGCATTATATATCCATTACCTTTTTAATCCTTGCAACAACCTTTACAGGTAAATCCAATTATTAGCCCAGTGTTAGAGATGAGGAGACTGAAAACTCGACACAGGTTAAGTAATAGGCCCAAGGTCACAGAGCTAGTGAGGGAGGAGCTAGTGCCTTAAGCTAGGCAGTCTGGCTGCAAAATCCTGGCTTTGACGACCATAGCTAGTTTTTTCTGTTTTGGATACTTAGATCTTTGACTTACCAAAAAAAAAAAAAAATTTGTTAATTTCCCAAAATCAGTATCCATGTGAAACTAAAGGAATGGAGGAGGGAGAACAATTCACTTAAGGGTACAGATATGGAATCACGCACTCCACTTCCTGCTCCTTCTCTAAGTGCAGGAAGGGTCCGGGCTGTTGTCAGGATTAAAACTTGCGTGGAGCATGCAGTAGGGCAATATTTAGTTCCTTCTCTTGGTAAAAGGCAAAATTAGGGCCAAGATCTTAATGACTTTCCGGTTAGTCTTCTTTCCAATACACCACACAATTTCCCCCAGACGGCAGCATCTAAAAACTGACAGGTGGTCGCATGGAAGTGCAAAAGAAAAAAAATGCAGCCAAAGACGAAGACAAAAGTCGCTAACCAGGTGGCTGTATCAGCGCTCTGCTGGTAGCCAGAATGATTTGCTGAGACGTTCCAAAACCGGGGATCTGCAAAGGACACCCCCAGTTTCCCTGGCCCCGCCCTTCCTCTGCCCCAGGAACCGCTTCCCCAACCCAGTCTTGCACAACGTGTCTGTCCTTCGCCCCTTTTCTTCCCTACGCATCTCTCAAACTTGGCTAAGGGCTGGGCTAAAGAAGCCGGTACCCAGAGCAAAGGCGGAGACGGCGTGGGGAGGCGGGGGGTGGGGTATGCACGCTTCCTTCCGTCCAGCCTGGGGGCGGGAGGCCGAGTTGTGCGCAAAGGCGCGGCGGCTGCAGGGCCCCGGCGACGCCCGCTGCCGCCTAAGCCGGGAGGAAACTCGAGCCCACGCCGCCATGGAGGCTGCACGCCGGGCGCCCGGCAGCCAGCGCCACTCACCCGGGCGCTCTCGGGCAGGTTGTAGCGACACAGAGTGTGGTCCAGGTCGAAGCCGACCACGTCGCAGGCGGCCAGGGAGAAGTGCTGAGCCATAGTTGCGCGCGGAGCTCCGGCGACTGCGTGGACGCCGGGAGGCGGCGGAGAGCACGCGGGCAGGACGCTGCGGGACTCCCGGGCGGACGCGGCGGGGCGGGGCGGTCCAGGCGCCCAGCCTTCGGGTGGTCCCCCTAGGCCGGCTCCTGCCGCATTGTCACCACTCCGATCCCCGCCCCGTGTCCAAAGGCGGGATGTGGCCAGCAGTGGAGTCACTGCTGCAGAAATCGGGGGCGTCGCTAAGTACCTGTTGGTGCATAGCCTTTGCTGCAAAATTAACTCGGGCTCCCCTGGCTTATCAAAACGCCAGGGAAACCGCGAGACTTAAGACTGACCCTTGACTCTTGGGTACGAATTCACAGAAGATTTTGGAGAAAATGTTATCCACTAATACTCCTCTGCCCCAGGTAGCCTATAATTTGGAAGATTTTTTTATTTGCCCACGAGATCTCTAACCATGGACTGAATCAAAAATTGTACATCCCATAGTACATTCCTAAGTATATTGCTAAGCGAAATGGGGGACTTCAACATTTCACCCCCTGGAGCGTATTAGAAAGTAAATTTGTTAGAAACCATGACGGACCATTTTTGCAAAGTGATGATGACTAAGAAAACCAATATTCTTGTTATTTGATTATCTTTTATTGTAGTGAAGAATTTTTCCTATGAAAGGACTTTAGAAACTTCCTAAAACATGCTGCAGAAAAGAAAACTTTATGCAAAGAGGTTTTAAAATTTATACAACACACAGTGATTTGAATGACAATGTTCTCAATTCTCTCAAGGACTGTGTATAGCGAGTATCATTTTAGATGCACAGAAGAAAAGTTAATTCATTATGTACAGTGGATGCTCAGGGCATTTAATTCTGAGAACTCCTGGATATGAAGGGCTAGGACTTTGAGATTTTTAAAGTCGTTTACAAGAGGAAATACAAATCTTGACATTAAAAAGAGAATATAAATGTATTATCTTTGTACTGCTTCTGTTTTAAATTTAAAAGAAGTCTTTGCCCAAAGGGGAAAAAATCAATAGTCATGACATAATGAAAATATAATAGATTGAGAACTATACTTAACCCTTACAAATACTAATCCTTATGAGGCTAATAGACCAACTAAGTAATTAATTTAGTACAATAAATAGTTCAATCTGGTAGGACACTTATTGTACCCAGTGGACCTATTTGAATAAATTAATAACTTGTTCCATTATGACTTGTGAAAGTCCCAAACAAATTTGTCTGGACTAGGAACAGGAAGGAATCCTCAAGAAGATCGAGCTATTCACTGGTTAGAGCCCAACAGCCATGTCTTTAATGTCTGTGAATCAAAAAAGAAAAAGCTGTATTATTTCATCACTTGAGCCTGTTTCTTTTTTGTGAATCTGTTGGCCATAGAACTGACCTTAGCATTCTTATTTGGCCCCTGCAATAGAGTGTGTGCCAAGGTCACACTACAGGTAGACTACATTGAAGGCCACAAGTCTCCTTGGGGGATATTTTGTTTTGCTGTGGGGCTAGACATTTCAGGGACTTCTCTTAGTAATATAAATGTACATATGCACTCATTGCTACAAGGAAGAGTACGCAAGGATTGGTTTTTCATGGCCTAAGTGGTCATGATCCTGGGACTGGAGCTGGTCCTAAGATCTGGACATGCTTATCAACGGTTATATCTACTTGCTGAGAAACAACTCTTACATGTCTTATATTCCTCAAGGCCTTGCCTACAATGTTTACATTTTGTAGGAGGGTTTAGAAAATAACCTGATCCCATCATCCTGAAAGAGGTGTCACTCATCATGACTTTCCATTCACCTTTCTTGGCCATTATCTTAAATCTCAGTCTAACTTCTGTAAGAACCTGTGGGATGGTCTCCCTCTTTTCCTTCACTCCCTACATAACCTTGAACTTAAATACAGACATTTACTTCATTTCATAGGCTTATTTTCAAAGGCAGATATTGTCTTTCTTTCTGTACATTAAACTTTAATCAAATATAGTGGCATGCACACCTCTTCTATTGTCAACCAGAAGTTCAGTGTTCTACTCAGACTCCAATTAATTTCTGTTTCTTTGGGTGGTATGTTAAATATGTCAGTATTAGGGACTGGATTTTGTCCCCTCAAAGTTCATATGTTGAAGCCCTAAGCCCCAGTGTGACTACATTTGGGTATAAGAAATTTAAGGAGGTAAGTTAAATAAGAGTGGGGACCTAATTCAATATGGCTTGTGTGATTATAAGAAGAGGAAAAACACAAGGGATGCACATGCATAGAGGAAAGGCCACGTGAGCACACCTGGAGAAGGTTCAACCTGCTAGCAAGAGGAGAGGTTTCACCGGAAACCAGCCCTACCTGCACCTTCATCTTGGACTTTTAGCTACCAGAACCATGAGAAAATAATTTCCTGTTATTTAAGCCACTCAGTCTGTGGCCTTCTGTTAAGGCAGTCTCGGAAGACTGACGTATAGATATTGTTTTGTCAAATGTAGCAAATAATGTTACTATATATTGTCTGAAAGATCTTTGGGAAAAATGTTAGTTGCTCTGGACTGTAGCTCGCCAGGATCCTCTGTCCATGGAATTCTCTAGGCAAGAATACTTCCAGTATTCTTGGGAAGGGTTACCATTCCCTTCTCCAGGGGATCTTCACGACCCAGGATTGAGTCTGCATTGCAGGCAGATTCTTTAACGTGGGAGCCACTGGAAAGTGAAAGTCGCTCAGTCATGTCTGACTCTTTGCCACTCCATGGACTACTAGAGTGGGTGGCCGTTCCCTTCTCCAGGGGATCTTCCCAACTCGGGCATCAAACTCAGGTCTCTCGCATTGTGGGCGAATTCTTTACCAGCTGAGCTACCAGGGAAGCCTTAAATGATGTGAACTTTGCTTAAGTTATTTGTTAGTTTTTAAAATTTTGATACTTCTATTTGTATGTAACGTCGATACCATGCTGTGGAGTTTTACGTTTTTTTTTCTTTTTTTTTTACTGTTCCATGTATAAATACATATACACTTTTTCTTATAATTAGGAAGTTATAAAATAATTTTGAAATGCTCAGAAATAGGTAAATAGGTTATGATTTTTATTGATTATTTTCTTTTTTTTTCCATTAATTTTTATTAGTTGGAGGCTAATTACTTTACAACATTGCAGTGGTTTTTGTCATACATTGACATGAATTAGCCATGGATTTACATGTATTCCCCATCCCAGTCCCCCCTCCCACCTCCCTCTCCACCCCATATTGATCATTTTCTATGTTTGAATATTATCATTATAACTGACCTATGTTTTAATAATGAAAATACTATAATTTAGGAACTTTAACCTTAGGTATGCCTTTTACTTAATTTGTTACTACCTAGGTAATAACTTTGTGATCAGCTAGCTTAAATTTTAAACACTAAAATAGCACATTAAGTGATATTTTGTGGATTTATAATACTGTATTTTAACATATAAATTGTACATATTTACCAGGCTTATTAAGGGGAGGGAGGGAAATAGTCTGTTTAATTTCTCATTGGTTTAAAATGTGCTTTTTTAAATACTCCAAAATAAACATTATAATATTTAACCTTTTATGTAATCTAAGCTAATCTACACATCTTCTCTGGATCATATAATTTGTTTAAAGGGAATAATAAATATTATTTAGTACTTTAAAATGTACAAATGCCTAAAAATTAATCTCTCTAAGTCATTTAGCAAGATAGAACCAAAAGCTGGTTTATAATACTGGCCTATGGCCTTAAGATGGCAGTAGTTCTGCATTAGGAATATTTTTCATTTGATTTCTTTAATTTAACAATCCTCAAATTTAAATACATTGTTTTCTACTCTCCATTTCTCCTCTTGCCACAAGAAGAAAGGCTTACTTAGAAATTTTACTGTAATTTTTTTGTGTGTATATTTATTTTTGATGGTGTAGGGGGAGAATGTGATGGAATGAAGTCCTTTGGTAAGAAACTGCTTATTAAGATGTGTGTGAATTAAAAAACCAAAATGTTTACAATGCGAAATGAGTGCCTCTTGGAGAGAAAACTAAAATACTAACTAGCAAAACTGTGACTCAAAAATATCTCAAATGATGTAGCAGTAGGTTGAAATTTAATTAGGACAAATGTTAATTTTGGGGTTAGGGTCAAGTAATCAATTTTATCAGTCTGTTCTGGAGCATCTCGACTGATCAGATGTTGTCAGAAATAAAATATGGATAAACTCAAGGTGAACTCAGCCAGCTCTGATTTGAATTCAGTTCCTCTTTAATTGACTGTCACTTCACAATACTCCCCTTTGCCTTGGCTGTCCGAGGTATGAAGGTTCTAAATTGCAGAAGGCCTACCATGTTGTCAAGGAGCCTGGGAAGAGACTTTAGGTCGTTGGTTACTGGCATCCATATAACTGCTTTTCCTCAGCTAGACCATCCCTATCAGTCTTTGGGTGCCTTTGGCCACACTGGCCACACCGTCAGCATCCATCCATGCTGCCTAAATTCTGAAACACCTCTAGTTACAGTGTCATCAGGAAAATGGTTAGTTTGACCCCAACCATGAAATCATCCCTCACTCAGCCAACCTCTGCTCCTCTCTTGAGTGGTTCAAGGAAACCTTCACAGGAGACTTTCAGCTTTGGAGCCACAGAAAAGGAAGGTACGTGTTACGGTGAGGGAAGGCCGGGTGGCTACCTCAGACCCTCTTTCTTCCTAGCTGTGACCTCACCCACTGTTCCTATTTTAGTGATGGCCCCATGTTGTCATAGGACATTCTGCAAAGCTTTTGAAAAGAGAACAAGGATTCAATTCTCTCTGCATTTGGATCCTCAAGCTCATGTGGAAGGTTCTTTTGTTTCCCATACAGGGGATTTAACCTTGTAATGGGATAGAATGTAGGGTCCTTTTCTCAGAGACCCACACAAGTGACTCACTCTGATGCTCTCCATCCTGTTTCCCTCAGAACTCACATTGTCAGATAAGATACAGAATGTCTTTCAAGTACTGCTGCTGCTGCTGCTGAGTCACTTCAGTCGTGTCCGACTCTGTGCGACCCCATAGATGGCAGCCTACCAGGCTCCGCCATCCCTGGG